ATTGCATACTTTTAGCCACTTTAAAAATATTTAAAAACTCACTGATTATTTGGATTTTTTTGATTTAAATCCTAGATTATCCTGCTAGTCTTTGTAATTTCATTTAACTTTCTAGACTTAAAATCCATTAAAGAGACGGAAGTGCAAGGACATGCTGATAAGGCATACGCTGTGAAGCATGCATCAGGGCGTCGCTTAATTAATGTCTCGGCTACCAAATTTGCGACGCCCAGCCACTTTACACCCAGATACACCCAACCCACACCCCAACAACCATCCATCCATCCGCCCCCTTCTCTAGCCGATGTCAACTATTTGCCACTTACTAATTAGCATTTGCGTGTCCACACAAACTTCAAGGGAAGACTACGAAGACAGAGTATCCGAGGCGTGGGGTAACCGCTAATTGGGCTTTATTGGCGGTAAATGTCAAGTGACGGCATTGGGTGACACTTTTCACCATCTCACTCCAACTTTCTCCACCCCGTCCACCCAAAAACAACAACCACTTGATTATGGCGTTCGCCTGATAACAGGAGGTGAATATTAGGGTTGGGATAGCAATTTATCGTTGTCCATGGCAGCCGGAAAGTCTTTACACACTAAAGCCAATCGAGGAAGGTCGCCCAAGGAAGCTAAGTCCCACAAACATTATATTATGGCATTAGCCTTAAAACTGATATACAATTTGAATTTAGAAAGCAACTTCAGGACAAAGAATTCGTTGGGGGAATAATAACTACACAACTCATCTCTTTTCAAGTCTAGTTTAATCAATAAACTCTTCTCTATAACAATTATTTTAATCACCACTTTATCCATAACTAAATTACTAAACTGATACATATTCCATAATTTGTATCATTTGAACGCAACTAATTGCAAAACTTAGCTTAACTAATCAAAATGCACGTTTTCAACACTCTTGTATGGCATTTAAATGAATTTATTTCCAAATTCATCAAAACCTAGTCAAATCCCATTTAAACTTCAAACACAACGAGCATATGCTGAACAAAAAGTGAGCAGGCGGCCTCTGCATTAAAATGAAACACTGCCCATGGACAATTGGAAATTAATTTACTAAGTGCCATACACACATGCATAATGAGCTATATGCTTTTTGTGCCAATTAACGCTTAATTAATTGCTGAATTAATATATGCCCGGGACAATGCGGGGTGTTGAATTAAGGGGGAGAAGGCAGGGGAAAGGAGCAGAGCAGATGCTGCATTTCCATTGATTTAAATGCATTTTTATGCAAATTTCCAGGAGTGTAAATTATGCACGACGCATTTGAATGCGGAATGCATTTGGCATTTGTGCAGAATGAAAGTTGCAATACCATTTTCATTTGTTAATGGCATATGTTAAATCTCATTTGCCTGCTCAGCTAAAACTATGACACTATTAACAGAAAAAAAAAAATAATAAAATAAAAATGATTGTTCAGTTGGAATGCATAAATTAAACACTTGAAAACACACAAAACTATTATAGGAATTTGCATAATGTAGCATAATTATTATTGCATTCTTATGATTTATTTATTTGGATATGTGTTGGTTTAGTTTTTTTTGGCATTTAATATTTATATTATATTTTGATTTCAAATTTTGTACATAAACAAGACCGCTGCAAACATCTTTACCTTAACTTTCTGATTTATAAAGTACATGGATTAAATACCTGAAGCAAAGGGAAAACAAATAATCCGACACTTTTGAAATCAATTAAAGTGACTTTCAGATCAAAGTTGAATTAGGCCGGGAAAAGCGAGCGAAAACAATCATCCGATTAAGCCCCTCTGAAGACAACAAAAGCCTCAACCAACTGACTGATTAACACACAAAAGCAGCCAATGAAGCATGGCTTAGACAGCCGGCAGCCAAAAGTGTTGGCCAAAAAAAATTGCATAACAACAGTAAGCGTAACAAAAGGAAAACTTTTCTTCCGCATCAAAACATTATAGGCCACAAAATAATTATCTTTTTTTAAAAAGAGGAAGTGGTTAATGAAACTGATTGGATAGGAAAAGTACTTGGTTTAGCTTATTTTAATAACAATTTTTTTAAATCCTTAATACCTATTTTAATTACTTTTAATTATTCCAGTTTACATTATCTTATTTATTTTCCGCTTTAGGCCAGTTATACAGTTTTCTTTATTTGCTCTTAGCAAATTTGCCAAATACGTTATTGGTCACATTGAAATTTATATTGATGATTCTTGGCAACAGTTTGCATTAATTTCCTACGATTTGCCAAAGCAATTTCCCTCTTTTTCCACCCCATTTTCTCAGGTCTGTGGTGCCTTTTCTTCCTTCTAGTCCTGCTGCTACATATAAATAATGATTTCTTTGCCATTTCAATGGCAATCCGTTCATTTGTCTTCTACATTCTCACATTGTACGGGGTGATACACCATATGTGAATTTTCCCTGCTTTTCTTCTGGTCTTCATGCATTTTCATGCAGAGATTTGCATTGAAAACTTAAATGCATGTGAGGAATTGTATAGTATTTATTAACTATTATGAATTAGTGCTTACGAGTTGAAAGAAATCAACAATGCAAAGCAAAAACCGTAAAAAAAAAGAGCAATACAACTGATATCGAAATAAGTTTCTTTCATATGTGATGACATTTCGTTCACTTGGTTTCCTCATTTTCAACTTTTCATTCTTCCTTCAAAATCTCATAACAAGCGAAACCATCAAGCCATTCGTCTTCATATTTATTGCATAAACCATTGTCAAAAACCGCTTGCATTGTATGTGGTGCCATAATGCCATCCTTCGAACCCAAAAAAAAAAAAAGAAAAGGAAAACCTTTCATTCAGTCTTCATCGTTATTTTGCATGCGATTCGTCAAGATTCTTTCTTTCTTCTTTTCGGTGTTAATATCAACGCCAATTTAATAAGAAATATGCACGAGAGCCACCGAAAATGGAGAGTTCGGAATCGCGGGGAAAAGCCTGAGTGCATGCCTTGCATTATCCGCTATCCATTATCGGCAACATATTGCACGCCTTTCTCATGAAACCAATAAATGCATATCTGTCCTCCAGCTTGGTCCTTGTACCCCGTTTCCCTCGGCTTTATTTATGGTTTGAGTGCTGAGAGTTGCTTTATCTTTCTGAGAGAATGTGAGAACATAATAATAATCACTATTATTACACATATATTAACGTTCTTTATGGTCTTTCACATATACGCAGGGATTATAATTTTATTTTCCGCTCTGCACTAAAAGCTGGCGATAAAAGGGCAAAGGCATTTCACTTTTAACTGACCATTGAAAGTGTAATTTCATTTTATTATTGGAAAAGCTTTCAACAATTTTTAATAGAAAAATTAAAACTACTTTTTGAAGAATGAATTAATGTTAGAAATATTTTAAATAGGTTTGTATATATTTTGGACCTAGGAGTACAATACATTCGTTTTGAAAGCTGATTATCCTGTATTCACTGCATACTTTTAGACACCTGGTAATTTTTGGAACAATTGGAATCACATAATTAAATAAATTAATTAATACAAAACAAACAAATATAATTACTACCTAATAGTTCATGTTATTGCCTCCTTTTCAGCCTGAAACAACTTATGCAAAACTTTTCGCAAAACACAGGAAGCGCATTAAACTTTCACCTTTCTCTCGCCACAAGAAGCTTTAGTTTTCAATCCGTAATGACATTCCAGCTACTTTGACCCGATCGGTCTATAGTTTAATGCATTTTGCTCTTGCTGTTGTTGCTTTAACAACATTTTCTGCCAGTGTGTTGGCTTTTTCACTTTGATGCAATTTTGCGCAGCATACTTTCAGGCAGCTCACTTAAAATACACACAAGCCAACAAAGAGCTACGATAAAGTTTTCCAGCGCCGCTTTTCCTCCCCGCCTTTTGGCCAGAAGAGAAGACAAAAGCGACACAAAAATGCCTGCAGGATGTGTGGAGCGAGCGATAAAAAGCGGAAGTGCAGATTGCCCCAGCCTCAACGACGACTAAAGTGTGGAAATGTCAATTTGCTTTGCGGCCAACAGTTGATGGGATCGGGGAGGATATATGGGGGGGGATGATATAGCATCGGTAACTGCAACAACGCATATTGATTTTCAATTTGGCAAGCCGAGGGAGTAAGCCTGCGTTTCTGATTCTGTTTGGTTGTTTGCTAGATATAAAGCTGAAGTCAACAGAAAGAAATGACATTGACTAAGGTATAGTGGGTAGTCATGGAAAAGAACTGTGATATTTTGTATATGCATACAAGTTTCATTGCAAAATCTCATTGAAATCTCTACCAATTTAAAATTTCATAGAGGTGAAGAATAAAACATCATTTTGTCGCATTAATCTATCAAACTGCTAGTTATAGTATATTTTGTCACATACTTTTAGAACCTTTTTCATAAAATGCAATTCAAATTTCTCGGAAACTCCAGTTAGTATACAGCTAGAAAAACGCATATTCAGTTCTAAACGTCCAATAAAGCAATTGTCATAAAATTGTTATCGAGGGCCCACTGTAACCACAGAAATGTGACTGGGAGCTTAACCAATGGACGGTTTGAAAGCCACTGGTACACAGAAGCACCAGCTTAAAAGCAATTTTGTGGCTAATAAATCCGATTTCCGTTTTGTTTCGAAATAAATTGCATGCAACGAGATGGCCACCGCAAAGTGGGTGGTAAGTGGAGCAATGGTAATGGAAATGGAAATGGAGAGCGGTGCCACTGGGAGTGTGTTTTGTGCAAGGCTGGCGGAAATGGCTATCAGGGGACGCAACAGCAGCATCCGGCGGATGTGCAAAATTAGGCAGCTTCTGTGGCACTCCCACATACGGCGGCAGGCATCCCCCCTTCCTTTTGCCTACACCCCGACCAATCCCAGACCACCCCCAGGATGACCCAAATTTTCGGTTGCAAGACCACAATGAAAATGTCACTCTGGGGGCCAGGGAAACAACAAACTCTTCGGTAGGATTCATCTCAACTCACCTGAACATCAAAATTTTGCTGCTGCAAGAGATTTCCGGGAGATTCCATATGATTGGGTCCAGCTGCCTGGTGATTCATCATGGGTGACTGTCAAGTAAGATGATAAATTAGGTATTAAACGATGGCTAAGTACTATTTTCTCTTCTAAAACATTTTACATTTTTTTTTATTTTTTACAATTAAATATTTAGTTTCTCTATATCATATCATATTTCATAAGCCTTGTTCAGATTAAACTTAATTATCTTACCTGTGCTGCCATTGGCATACCGCCGCCAACGCCGTTCATCATCGGCGGCTGCAACTGACTCATTTGGGCGGCCATTTGCTGGTGGGCCGCATACGCTCCGCCCGCCCCGCCTCCGCCGCCCCCTCCTCCAACCCCGTTGCCAGATCCGACGACCCCTCCCAAGCCGCCGCCCATGCCCTGGCCATGGTCCATGAGCATGTGGTTGAAGGGGGGTGGCAGTGGGGGGAAGAGTAGATTCGGGGGGCGTGGCAGTGACTCCTCTGCAGGGGAAGGCTGACGTGAACCAGGGGTGCGACTGTAATGAGGTAGAAAAGAAGATTTTTATAGGCCAAGTTTATATTTTATAAGATGATAAGGAAAGGATTGGGTTTAGACTTTAATGTTTAACAATTAGATCTAAGGAATTTTCGTTAACTTTAATAATAATTTTTTAAAAATGTTCATTCAAATTAAAAAGAATTAATAATAAATAACAATCCACAAATCTTTAGCGCAGTTGCTCTCAAAGCTATCACTTAATTTCCATACAGTTTGAAAACACAAAGGACCTTAGCAGCATGTTAAATAACATTACAGTTTTCAACTGTAACTGCGTACAGTTTGGAAGTAATAGAAGTTTGGCATCAACTGTAACAACCGCTTAGTCATGACAAAACCCATATCACAGACACACACCCTAGTACGTGGACTAAAAGTAAATTCAAATTGTTTAGTCCTATTATGGCGCACAAATTACCCGTCTATTAAATTAAAATGAAGTTATCTTTATATTTAATACAGTCAACTGCATTAAAGGTGAACTTTTTAAGATTTACGACATTTTAATTCAAAAACCTAGCACAGTTTTGCAGCTAATTGCCAAAAACGAGAGCAAAAACAAAAGACTTAAGCGGCAAACTTGTTCGATAGTCACTCATGACGTCAGCAGAGCAGCTGAGCGAAGTCCATAAGTTAAACACAGCATCAGCATAAAATCAACGTTTCATTTAACGAGCGGCGCTTAGCATGCAAATAAAATTCGTCGAGCCAAACTTTAGATCAAACTGGAAATGTTTGCCACTGTGTTTTATGCGTTAGTCATGCTGTTAAATTAATTAATGCATTTATCTCCCATTCATTCATCGCTCTTAACCCACTGCACCCAACACACACTTCTTCAGTCGATGACTCTGCAACTGTTTTTACTACTCTCCAGTCTTTTTACATTGTATGCCTTTTCTTTCTAACTATAGTTGCATGTGCGCCTGTATATATAATTTGCCAGCTATAATTTCATTGTCAGGTCATTCACATCGCATTAGCAACAATACATGTGACTACAAAGAAAAAAGCTAAACGGCAGCAGAACAAAAGTTTAGCGATCTCAGGCAATACTAAGAAAACTATTTTCCAAAGCGATGAAATTAATTACTGTTAATCCGATTGAAATGCAAAATGTTTTGCTTCTAAGCGTTATAACAAGTAGATATAAACATTTTAAACCGGAATGTTATATTTTTATTAGCAATGCCCTTATAAAGAAAATGTATGCAAAAAATAATTTGTATTTTATGATTATTATAATTAACAATTTGTTCAGCTAACTCTTATTCAATCAAAGCCATTTTTGTGGGTAATTAATCTTGTTTGTTTTGCTTATAAGCAGTTCACGTCATAAGCTTTAAAACCATGGAAATATTTTGACTACCTGTATTAGTCATACAGCTTAGCTCTTTGCTCTGTATTTTTTTTAATTCTGCTTGTGATTACTAACCATCTGGCAGTAAATAATCCTAGACATGAGCTCAACCAGGCATAAACTTAAATTGTTCGTTCCTTTCTAGTTCCTGTCTTAATTTTGACCATCCACAAATTGTTTTACTTTAAATTCTTTTAAAGAAAAGATAAAATCATACCTATACATACGCAAAATAACATAATAATTGTAGTTTTGTACTTATAAGAAGAAAGGCTTATTGTAAGAAACTAGTTCTAATACAAAGTTACCTTGATAAAAAAAATGTTTTATAGTTAATAAAACTTTATTGATAAAAAAATATATAAAATAAATATAAATATATAAGCTAAATATAAATAAGAATAAATAAATACAAACACTTCAATTTCACACTCTCACTTTCCTCCATTTCAAATTTCTAGAGCTTCTAGTTTGACTGAGGTCAGGTTTTCATTGGCAACTTTCCATTGGCCCCCAGTTCTAAGAGTCATGTCTGACCTAGCCCAAAGCAGTAGTATGTTTATATAATCCCATTTGCTCCGCTGCTCCTCTTTCGGTGCCCCCAAAAATTTTCACTTTTCGAGACAAAAGAAAGTGCGGCCCCCAAGGGAGCGAGGGCAGAGACAAACCCAAAATAAAATATGAGGCATCGGTAGCCAAAAAGGTCAGAGTGGCAAAGCGGGTTAGGGGAGCAGAGGGGCTACAAAAAAAGGAGGGGCTTTCAGTCTGGGTCACCGGGCAGAAGCAGCAATCAGTGTGTAAGCGAAGCAGGTGAGTCACTTGTCTGTTCACTTTTGCCTGCCTCGAATTATTTTTAGCAGCGCTTTTCGCTTTTCAATGTTTTTGCAACTTCAATTTCAAACAAAACGATACAAATCAACACAACAACACAAAACCATATAAAAAAGAAACCTCCAGCCGCAGCAACAATAACGAAAACAAATAGCCAACTGAAGCCCACAGTGTAATGCAATATGAAACGAAAACTAATCGAAATCGAGTTTATAGAAAATAAAATAAAATACACAAAACTTTGTGGCTTTTTATTTTGTCACAATTTTATTTGTTGCTTTAACTGTTTTTCTTTCAGATCAGTTTATCTTTACATATATGTAAGTCAGTCAGGAATCTTAAAAAAAACAACTATGGTCATAATAGATCACTTTCTAGTATACCTCATTTACTTTTTAAACCTACCTAAAATAAAAATTCTGAAACCCTTTTATAGAACCAAATATTTAGAACTTCTGTGGCCAGAAATATTATCTATTGGAAATCTAACCAAGTCTTTGAAAATTGAAACCGGAACAGTTCTATGTCTATGCTTGTATCGATTTCTTATAGCTGATCTTGTTGCAGGTGAATTTTATTGCTTCTGTGGCTCTTCTTGTGGTTGCTGTTGCTGCCACTTACATCATAACAGTTATTACGTTTGGCATTGAAACATGTTTGGGCCAACCGGCAATGAAATTGCAAAACAGCGTCAGCGAACATAAAAAAAATTTTAAAAAAAGAGAGACTGAGACTGAGAAACCAGCCGGCTGGCAAAGTAGAGACCAAGATAATATAAAGAAAGAGAGGAAAACCGCAGACTGGTTTCTTTTTCTTTTGTTAGGCCTAAAAGCTGGTTGCTGGTGGTCTCTGATATATTTTGCTTCTTTTAAATGGCTTAAACGTGGTGGCTTGATAAGAGGAAATATAGGAACTAACTATGATGAAAAATTATAATTTAATTCTTTATTAAAATTTTTAGAGCAAAAAGTAATCACAAGCAATAAAACTTTAAGTGAAATGCCATCTCCAAAACTTAATCTCAATTACTTGCCAACTTGTTTGGGCCAATAAAAATGGTTTTTAATTAAAGCTTGGCCAGCTGTGCACTCCCCCTACTTTTCTGAAACATTGCTCTTTCAACATAATAACTAGCCAAATTCCAATTTAACTCACTCAAAGTGTCGTCGTATTTTCGTTGCGTCAAGTCGAAAACGCAAAACGCAGGTGGGCCACACGAGAAAAAAAGCTTTCCCCATCGCCATAAATAACAATTAAAACTTAATAATAAATAATGTAAATGGAAATACGAAAACTGTGGGCAGGCGCACAACAATCACTTCATGGCTTTATGTCATACATGAGTACGAAGAAACGGCAATTGCAATTGAAGTACAAAAAAAAAATGTGGGTTAAGACCAGGCAGGTAAAAATTTCAGGTAATCGATATGAGTTTGTGGGTCAACTCTTTCCCCAAAAATTATATATTCAAGGTTTGACATTTAACAAGTAAAGAGTAGGGCAATTATTTGCATATGCTCCAAACTTTTCGATTAATAAGTAATTGGAAGCCAAACCAATAATTTGCTAAGCTGACTGTTCCGGCTTAAATAAGTAATTGCTAGGAGCTCAAAATTAAGTTATTAACTGTGTGAAAACGCACATGTAATACAAAACGGAAAGGCAATGGATTTCTCCATCTAATTACATATAATCAGAGGCTTAAAATTTACTATGGTTTTGAATACCACTCATGTTACTTAAAACTCAATTAAATAACCTTGGGGGGTAAAATAGAATGAATGACTGGACAGAACCAGTCATAATTTTCCAAGTCACGATGAAACTGGAAAAACTCCATGTCTTTCCTTTCTAACAACACTCCACACACTGAACATTGTGGATTGAAAGAGTGAAAGTTTATGCAAAAAAGAAAGAACCAACCTTGAACTGGAAAAATTTCAGTTTCAGTAATCATAACATGAATACCATTTCTGCGGTCAAGAGAAGAGAAGTGAGAAGAAACCAACTGATAGACTGAAGAAACCAGTTTCTCTAACCCACCCAGAGTTTAGAATCTATTCTGGGGCCATTAGTCGGAGTCTGGGGCGGAGATTGAAAGTTGTCTACTACTTACTTGAAGCCCTTGTCATCGTCAATGCCGTTGACAACACCATTTGTGTTTGTGACCTGATCGTCCTTCTTCAAACCGTTTGTGTCAAACGGAGAGTTGGCCTTTTCCTTATCATCGCGTGACTGAAATGTTTGTTAATATATCATTATTATTTACTATTTCTGGACGTTTGGTAGAACTCAAAAACATACCTTATCGTTATCGTCAAACTTTAAATTGCGCAAACGCGGCTCTAATCCAGAAAGAGGGCTCTCCTTATTGGTGGGCGAACCACTAAAAACATATTCCACCACCTTGGCGCAAGTCGAGTCGCGGGGACTGCAAAGGAAAATACATTATTATTACAGTTTCCTTAATTTGCAAACATATTTTATAATTTCCTTATCTACACTTCACGCTCTATTGCATCAATTTGAAATTGAAATTTAGTGTTACTTTTCTCACCTCAGTATGCCCGCATTGCCGCTGTTCGAAGTATCGGAGGCACCGCCATGGGCGTAGGCTCGCGAGGGGGCGGTGCCAGGATATTCTCGCCCTGTGTGGACCAGGTGTGATCCTTCCACACAGAAGAGGGATCCCCGATGCCGGGGATCTGCAAGGGATTCAGCGGTCCACCAGGATTACTCGAGGAAACGCCCTTACCATCGGATTTCTCCCACAATTTCTTGGCAGTGGATGTGGTGATCTGAAAATAATAATGAAATTTATATTATTATTTGCACATCAAGTGTAGCATGATTTTATATATATTCCTATCTCAGTTCCCAGAAAAATTATTTAATTCCTCCCCCTTATATTTACTTCATTTGATTTGATTAACCTACACTCAACTTATTTTATGAGGAAACGTTCGAATTTACGGCTAGATAGTAAATTATAATAGTTAACAATTTTACTCCCGTGCTCATATGATTGTTATAAGATTAAATAGTTGGATAATCGCGAAAAAATGAAGGGGAAAAGTATTTAAATCGCTACAAAGAAACGTTCTCGACCGTATTCCCATTGGCAATTGATGAGTTCCAGGAAAGTAAATATCAGAGAAATCACATCATCATCATCTCATTGACAACAATACCGGCGACATAAATGTCAACGGAGCGTTGCAAACAAATTGTTAATTAACTTTTGCCGCCCTCTTTTTTGTGTGTTACTGTGTGTGTGTGTTGTGTTAACCATTCCCAAAGGCAATTCCTTGCGTCATAATGCGACAGAATAAGCCCCACCAACCACCCACACAGCTGGCAACTTCCCGACATCCTGACACACAGTTTAAATATTTAAGAGCTTATCAACTGGGCTTGAACGGAGGGGGTGGGACAATTGGAGGCGTTATTGCAGGTTGGACGGTGATGGGGTAAAGCTTTCCTTGGCTGCGACTTTTGCATTAATAACAGCTCAAGTCACCAGTCCCATACAAAATTATGGGTTGCAAGCAACGGGAAAAATAAGTTAAGCCTTTCTTTGGCTTACCATATATCTTAAATGTTTTCAGAAATCAGTTTCAATCAAATTCCAAACCAAAAATAAACTTCCTAGCCAAAAAGTATCCAATTAATAATTTTTATTAACACCAAATTAAAATCTAATATAAATATTTGGTTTATATTAGCTGGATTTACAGTTGTCTATGACCTAAGACAACAATTTCACAGACCCCAAGATTTCAACCAGGTAGGCTCCAGAGATTACCAAACACCCAAATATTTTGACAAATATTTAGCGTAGCCAATCCAAAAATTGTAAATAAACCCAACGAAAATGCTTTAAATGAGGCAAAGTTGGGGAGAGCGTGAACAAAAATAAAGGCTGAGACAAAGAAAAACTTGACAGTGCAAAAGAAAAGAAGCTTAACGCACAAAAGTGCGAACTTAGATCTGCGATCATACACAAAAGATACAAAAAGATTACCAAAGCAGTGATACAATAAAAATGAAAAACAATACATGACAAAATTCAACGAACTGCTGATGCAATATTTTTTACATATATTTTATATGGGTCACAGTCTCAAGAAAATGAATGAAAATGTTTTGAGTAGGCAAGAATAAAAATAAATCAAATAAATTAATTAAACCGCAATTAATAAATATGCTAAAAAAAAAACAGGCGGCAAAGAGGTGCCAAAAAATGCGGCGCCGAGCAAAATAAAAATCAGCAACCGGAAAAGTGAACAACAAAGCTAAATTCGTTTTGTTAATGAACAAAAAAAAGGAGGAAATATATTTCGGTTAAGAAAAGTTGATATATGATTAATGGTTACACAATTTAATTATATATAACAGGCGCCAAAATATACATTGATATATTGTTTAAGAAATTAATTTGAAAATATATAAATAATTAATTTGGCAGCAATGGGTTTTGAATCCGTTTTACTTTACGACAAAGTGGTGGAATCAATTCGAATTAACATTATTAACCTATCAAAATGTTGTTTTCTATTGTGTATATAATTAATGTGATTCGAGACCAAAACAAATTCACCACCCACCTCCCCCGCAAATAGAAAAATCCGCACAAAAGAGAAAATCGTTCATTAACTTGTCCTTGACTGTGAAGATACAAAAAAAAACACAGATACAACAAACACAGGCACAACGCTCACACAGATACATACATCACACATACAGCTGAGCGAAAAAGGGAGCGCGTGAGGCAGAAAATAAAAGGGAGAGACAGACAACAAAAACCGGCCTCCTCTTTGTTGAAAAACATGCGTGAGAGAGCGAGAGAGAAGCCTACGAAAATTCCTGCAAAGCAAAGACAGCGATAGCGAGAAGAAGAAATAGCCAGAAAAACAAAAAAACGGCAAGAAAATCTTAGAATGGCAAATAGGCACAAAAAAAAATATGCTAAAGAGAAAAAAAGTAAGAAGGGGGAGGCAAAGGTGGTGGTGGATATTTGGCCATAGGCTTGTGCAAAAGAGAAGAAGAGAAACAACAAAACAAAGCACAAATAGCAGAACCAGTCAGAATATGTCGAAAAAAATTCAAAATTACATTCTGCGTAAATTGTTGTTCCCCCCCTTCAGATTCTATTCAAAAATTTGTTTTCTTCCTATTTGATTAAAGAATTTGCTGTTGATGGGCGAATATTTTATGTAAATGATATTGACTAGATTGATTGAAAGTGGCTTGGCAGGTTAATGGTTTCGGTATCTTTTAAGATTAAAAACTGCAAATGGCACTTTTTATTTATTTGTTTTAAAAAGTTAAAATAAATAATATTCCATTAGTTAAAGAATCATTTAAAGTGGTAGCCAAAAAAAAACACATTTATTATCCATAAGAAAGCTAAATAATTAATAGAGCCATTATCAAATATCTAAAGCTTTGCTAAAATATTATTTATTGACGTAATATTTTAGATAGTTCATTAAACTAATTGCCCATGATACGCACAAATTTTGAACCAGTTCTCAAACAAAATTAATGTCCCAAGTAAAGCTAATAATCTAATAACAACAAAGAGCTCTTAAAAATACGCACACAAAAGCAATAATCCAAAACCAGTTGTACATTCAATTTAAAATTATATCTTAATTTTCGCATTTTCATTTTAATAGAACTATTATCATTGGCCTTGGTGGTAGTGCCATTCACAACACATAACATATTTTAAAATTATTGTAATATATCAAATGATTTCATGGTTTATCAAAAGATATAGTCATTTATTATAATGAAAAATGTAAATTATGAACTTTACTTGCTTATAATCAAATACGATAATTTTAAAAAATTAAAATTTCTTAAATGTCATCTATCGTAACGAAATATGAATTATCATGGTGCATTGCAAACAAGTCCTTGAAATTATAATACCCTCTTTAACCGGGGTACAAAAACATTAACAACATTTAATTTTGAGCACGAAAAGTTGTTGACTTTGAGTTTTTGTGCGTTACACACACCGAAAATAAATAAACGTTGCCTCTGGAAGTGTGAGAGTGAAAAAAATGAGTGCCTCAACAAAAAGATGTGCGAAACGTCTTGAGTCAAACATCAAGATTAAATTGTTTAACGAAATCAAGGCGAAATTGTTGAGAAGGTTGGAGTTGCGGGAACACTTTGTTGCTCCTCTTTCGTTTTTAAATTTGTGCTTCCACCTTTCGATGTTGTTGTCAAGTGCAAAGACCTTTCGCGTGTCATACAAAAAGCCAAGCGAAAATAAACTAATAAAAATAAAGCTAAGCACACAGGCACTCTTGACGGAAAAATAAGGAGAGAACTAGCTACGTATCTACAGAAATGCACGAGAAATTGGGCGTGGCTAGATGGATTTCAGTCAAATAAGTGTTTCTAAAAATAATTTTAATTGAAGCAAAAGAAGTAGTACCAAAATGCAGTTAGCCAAAATTTTAAAAATGTATCTTAAAGATACTATCCTTAAAGTTACATAGATATTCAAACATTTTTGCTGTCTGAAATATTTAACATTGTGTAATACTTCTAATATCTTTTATAAAAATATTCTATATTGATTTTTTACTTTATCAAATACCATTTTTAGTTGCATTTTCAGTATAAATTCGCGGTATTTGTATCTGAGCGGAATGTTCTCAGTTATTTTCGGCTCTTCGCGACTATCGATTTTGTTTCTGTTGTTGGTCTGAACGCTTTTTGTTTGCAAAACGAAACAAAACAAAAAGTGCAGTCAGGCTGAGAAATGCGTTTATTGCGCTTTTCAACAACCGACTTTGCTGTCTGCTGTGCATATTTATTTGACTTTGCCTTTCTCCCCGAACGAGACAAAAAAATAAAAATAAAAAATGAGAAGAGAATGGGTAGAAAAAATATAGAGTGCAGTGCAACGCTAAATGGTTTTACTTTGGCGTGTGTATTTGGCAAAATGCAGCCGCTGAACTGCAGTAAATTCTAGAAGATTAATTGGATTATATGGGATTTTCCTGAGGCACTAAATCTTGTAACTAGTTGTCTTCAAATATATAGGTTTATTGGCCTTGATAAAGTAATAAACGAAAGTGCTTCGTTAAGTTAAGTTCTAGTTTCTGGGAATAATGTTTGTTTAGCCAATAACTTTAAATCTGTTATAATTGTAATATGTATTTATGTATTCTTTAAAAAACTAAATAGCCCTAATCAGCTTAGTCAACTTTATAGTCTTTTTCTTTGACTAAACTTACACCGCTAACTAGAATTTTTCGCAACTTTTTGTGATGTCGAAAAGTTACTCAAAACAGCGAGAATTTTCCACGCAACTTGAGGTGAACCAAAGTTGCAAGTTGAACGCCACGAGAAAAGTTTTTAACGCTAAACTAAGTCACGTGACTTGCATATTCCACACTTAAATATATGTATTCCAAAGAATTGTTGCATTGCCGCCCGCTTTTCCTATAATTTAGCAACTTTGTTGCATTGCAGTTGTTACTGTGTGTGTTGCTGTTTGTTTTGTGTTTATGGGATTTGCCACACCCCCCAGCAGTTTACCGCCCCATAAGTTAACCTGTCCGTGTCTTCCGTCTCTGTCGGTAAATTGTCATCAACAAAGTCACCGCTCCTTTGGCCCCTCAGTTTCCCATTTCTCCAAACCATCCTCCATATAGAGCTGGCTTTTCTCCTCTTCACTTCAGTCAGTTGCTGCAAACATTTCCGGCGCCTTGTCCGTTTGTCCGTCCGTCGGTTTGTCCGTCCGTTAGCCGGGTCCCCCGAGTACAATAAG